AAAATTTAATTCTCAGCAGCAGCCGGGGGGAAAAAACACATTCAGTGCATTAAATATTTAAGAATATTAGATATAACATGTTTCCTATGTTGGTCAGAGTGTGTTGACTCTTTTGTGACATAAATACACGAGAAAATTAGATTTTTAGCTCAAAGTAAATTTACTTAGCGCATAATATAAGTATTATAAATGTAGCCATAATTTCTGAAATGCATTTAAGATTTAATAACTACTGTCCCTTCAGATGTATGACCTCCAAAGTCATAGCTGGACTTAGCATTACATCACATCACATCCCCTCTCTTACGGTAAATGTCGATAGTCTGCAGTGTGGGTTGGCTTCAGGGAAGCTTGAGTGCAAATTGCTTCTGTTAATGGTTTGACATTTGTATAGTAGCTAAGTAACTCTGCGGGGTACGAGACAGACTGCAGCCAGGTGTGAAGCTCTTAATATAAGTTAAAGACTAACACATGATGTGCACCATGTGAAATATATAAGCTTAAACTGCCTGTTTGTTAATGCTCTTTTATGACACTGTTTTAGGGGATACAGAAGAAAATTGTTATCCGGCTTATTTGAGCAACCTGGATATTCCACTCATCCATTTTCTTAACTACCTATCCAATTCAAATGCCACGAGGGGGTTGGAGCTTACGCAGACTATCACGGGGCCAAACCTAAACAGATTCACAGGATATTCTCCCTGAGAACTGACAGTTTTCAAACATTGTTATATAACGTTTCACCTCAAGTATTCTTTAAAATGCCCGTATGTGGCTTAACAGGTTCATTTTTTGCGAGTCTACTATAATATGTGCATGTTTCAATGTGAGGAAAAACATTGCTGCACCTCTTTTTTTTTTTTTAAATTTGTAATCTTTTCCTGAAATGCTCAGTTTTAGCTGTTGTGCCCTTAAGATCTCCCTCTGCTCTCCATGAGCGCAGTCAACAAAATTAGGCGTTAGTTAGCTTCTACAAGGTCTACAAATGTGGTTGTAGAGCACGTGGCTGACAAAATCCTCGAGTTCATCCCAGTTTGAATTCAAATCAGACCCAGATAAAGAAGAGAATCCTGCATTCATGTAATCCTTACATTATAGATTTTACAGAGATTTCATTCAATACTGTTTCTGAAATTACTTATTGTGGCCTTAAAATCTGTATTTCTTTGTGTTTATGTTGTTTAAAAAAGTATCAACTTAAATTTCATGTGACCTGGTTGAGAAGCAGGAAGGATCCACAAAATTTAAATCAAATGTTCTTCTTCTTGTTTTTAACATGTAACATCAACGAATGCTAACAAAAAAGCTAAACGGTTCCACAATTTGTGGTTGGCCGTAAGCATTACAACTGTAACTCACCTCAGAGCAGTGTTGCCAACTTAGCGACTTTGTCGCTATATTTAGCGAGTTTTCAGACCCCCTAGCGACTTTTTTTCTAAAAAAAAGTCGCTAAAAAAAGACGTGAAAGCGCATATCGCTTTTACTCTCAACAAGCAGCGGGTGCTGTAACGCAGTCAGTTCTTCTTTTACTCTTTTACTGTTATGTGGATCACAAGGTTTAAAACTACTTATACACACACACACAAAGTAACTCCACCAGAGCGCCTATTTCGGGTCAGTTTTGCCGGTCCAAGCCCAGATAAAGGAGCAGAGTTGGAATTGTGACATTAAAAAAAACAATAATTGCTAAAAGAAATTTAATTTGTAGTTCTAAATAAACTCTAAATGCATTTAGGACGTTTTTTACTCACTTTATGTCTCTTCCACGATGTTATTTCTCTCTCCAAC